TCTAGACTGGCCATTCCCAATTCCTGCAACCCTTCTTCATTATGTTTTAGCCTCCAGACCCCTGATTGTCTTTGTGGCTCTCCTCTGCACTTTTTCCAGTGCAACTACAGGAGACAAGCTATTCCACTGATTAATTGTTTTGTCAGGAAATTTCTCCTTATTTCTAGGTTGCTTCTCTCCTTGATGAGTTTCCATCCGTTGCTTCTTGTCCTGCCTTCAGGCGCTTTGGAGAATAGCTTGACTCCCCTCTGCTTTGTGGCAGCCCCTCAAATATTGGTATACCGCTGTTACGTCACCCCCCCTAGTCCAGGGGTAGGCAACCTTGGCTCTTTTATGACTCGTGGACTTCAACTCCCAGAATTCCTCAGCCAGCATGGCTCAGCTTGGAAACCTCTCCCTTTCCCCTCAGCATGGCTGGCTCAGGAATTCTGGGAGTTGAAGTCCACGAGTCATAAAAGAGCCATGGTTGCTTATCCCTGCCCAAATGCCTGAATTTTGATCACGTGATTGTGAGGAAAAAATATTTAAATACTTAAACCAGGGGTCTTCAAACTTGGCCCTTTTGACTGGTGGACTTCAACTCCCAGAATTCCTTAGCCAGCATGGGGGAACTATTACCCCTTCATGGCTCGTGGACTTCAACTCCCAGAATTCCTGAGCCAGCATGGGGGAACTATGGCCCCTCTCATGACTCGCGGACTTCAACTCCCAGAATTCCTGAGCCAGCATGGGGGAACTATGGCCCCCTCATGACTCGCGGACTTCAACTCCCAGAATTCCTGAGCCAGCATGGGGGAACTATGGCCCCCTCATGACTCGTGGACTTCAACTCCCAGAATTCCTGAGCCAGCCTGGCTCAGCTTGGAAACCTCTCCCTTTCCCCTCAGCATGGCTGGCTCAGGAATTCTGGGAGTTGAAGTCCACCAGTCATAAAAGAGCCCAGGTTGCCTACCCCTGGCCTAGTCCTTCTTTTCATTAAAGTAGACATACCCAGTTCCAGCAACCGTTCTTCGTATGTTTTAACCCCCAGCCTCCTCTTCATCTTTGTTGCTCTCCTCTGGACTCTTTCTAGAGTTTCAACACCTTTTTTTCTACTGTGGTAATCAGAACTGGATGCAAGATTTCAAAGTATTTGCACATCCCAAAGTACTTGCAAAGGATCTGTGTGATCCCCTCTTAAAAGCTTTAACCATAATGGATTAAAACCACACTGAGTGACTCAGGCGCCAGCAGACACCAGCAGCTGTTAGAACCCACACTTCAAATATGCTGCAGAAATAATAGAATTATAGCCTGAAACTGGGCAGCTGCTGTGAACGTCAGCAGCTGAATCCAGAATGAACACATCCTATGCAAATCCAGGCCTTCTGCAAGGGTCAATGCATCCTCCCTGACACCCATTTAGCCATAATTTCCAGCAAAGGAAGCAGTTGAAGTCTGTTAGAGGTGGGACGTCTTCCTCATTCGGCCCTCTTGGCTACTAACACGTCAGTTCTTTGCCTAGTTTGGCTCACACCCGTGAAGACTGCTCACGGTACACATTCAAGAAGGGAAAGGAAAAAATATTGGGTGGAACTAGATCCACCCCTCCATCAAAAATCTTGGCTTCTTTATGGGGGGGAGGGAGAGAGAGAGGGCGGGAGGAAGAAAGAAAAAGGAAGGAAGGAAGGAAGGAAGGAAGGAAAAAAGAGAAGAGGGAAGAAAGAAAGAAAGAAAGAAAGAAAGAAAGAAAGAAAGAAAGAAAGAAAGAAAGAAAGAAAGAAAGAAGAAAGGGAGAGAAGAAAGAAAGGGAAGAAAGAATGGAGGGAGGGAGGGAGGGAAGGAAGGGGGAGGGAGGAAGGAAAGAAAGGAGGGAGGGAGGAAAGAAAGAGGAAAGAAGGAAGGAAGCAAGGAAGGAAAAAAGAGAAAGGGAGGGAAGAAAGAAAGAAAGAAAGAAAGAAAGAAAGAAAGAAAGAAGGAAAAAAGAAAGGGAGAGAAGAAAGGGAAGGGAAGAAAAGAAAGAATGGAGGGAGGGAAGGAGGGAAGGGGGAGGGAGGAAGGAAAGAAAGGAGGGAGGAAAGAAAGAAAGAAAGAAAGAAAGAAAGAAAGAAAGAAAGAAAGAAAGAAAGAAAGAAAGAGAGAAAGAGAAAAGAAAGAACCACATTTATAGGAATCTTTGGAAGAGGGAAGAAACTATATTCTAAATTCCATCATTTAAAATTTTTAACCCTAATTAAATTTTTATCTATTGTTTGATTTATTGGTTGTTACATTAGTAAAGCCCTGTTTGAGGGAGACAGGCGGTTTAGAAATACAAAATATAAATAAAGAAGAGGCGAAGAAGCAGAGACCAAACAGGAAAAAAAGGCAAACATTTGTGGGTCCCCCCCCCCGCCGGATGCAAAGCGAGAACGAGAGGGGGGGCACATACCTTTACTCACCTGTTGGCACAATCCTTTGCATTAATCCTGGGAATCAGCTGATCTTTCACACACACCCCAGGCCAGAAAAAAGGCCAATGGGGGGGGCCAGACAAGGCACACCCCATTTCTGTACATGGTGCCCCCTTTTCCCTGTATCCCCCTCCCCAGCCTTGTTGGATCCCAGGCAGCAGTCAAGACTGCTGGGATAGATGGGCAGAACCAGCCAAGGGGGAAGCCAGGAGGGAGAAAAAGACCCCCCCAAATAAAAGTGAAAGCCTGACTACAGGTAGTCCCAGACTTACATCCACAATGGAACCCAATTTCTGTCGCTAAGCGAGGCGTTTTAAACTAAATTTTGCCCCATTTTACATGCTCAGCGAATCACTGCCATCGTTAAGAGAGTCACACCGTCGTTAAGCGAATCCGGCTTCCCCATTCCTGACTTTGCCCGCCAGAAGGTGGCAAAAGGGGAATCGCACAACCCCGGGACACAGCAAACCATCTTCAAAAGGAGTCCGTTTGCCCCACTGTGCAACATGTTCACCAAATCACCGCCGCTAAGCGAGTCACTCGGTCGTTAAGCGAATCCGGTTTTCCCCATTCCCAACTCGTCAGGAGGCGGCAAAAGGGGAATTCACACAACCCCAGGAGACAGCATCAAGATGAGTCAGTGGGCCCGGCTGGTTGATTACGATCAAGGCTAATTTATAAAGGATAACATTCTGATCAATGTGACCGACGGTCGTTAAGTGTGAAAGACGGTCCCTTTTTTTTCAGTGCCCGTTGTAACTTTGAACCGGTCACTAAATGAAATGGTTGTAAGTCGAGGATTAGCTGTATAGGGCTGTTTGGTCAAAAGCGTGGCCCTTTTAAGAGGGGGTGGACTTCAACTCCCAGAATTCCCCAGCCAGCAAAGCTGGCTGGGGAATTCTGGGAGTTGAAGTCCACCCCCTCTTAAAAGGGCCACGTTTAACTATAGGGAATGAAGACCCCCCTCTTCTAGGATGCCCAACTAAGGTAGACTGACCCCGCCTGGGGAGGCTCTCCTCCTCCTCCTCCTCCTCCTCCTCCTGCTCACCTTCCCTTTGGCGCAAGTGACGGAGCGCAGCGCCCCGAAGAAGATGGGCAGCAGGGCCATGACCACCAGGCTGCCGTAGGCCAGCGCCATGCCCTCGGCGGTGGCCGGGGGCCGCGTGCCGGCCGTGGGGGCTTCGGCCGCCCCGCTGCCGTTGTGCGCCTCGGCCTGCTCCATCGCCGCCAGTGCCCGACGCAGCCCGCACTTCCGACCCGGCAGAGGCGGCCCCGCAGCGCCCAGGGACACGTTCCCTTACTCGGCCGGAAGTGGGGCGCGGCGCATGCGCGGCCGCCGGCACGCCCCCTGGAGACGACGGCGGCCTGGCCCGTTGCTAGGGAGCCGCCGCCGCCGCCCGGCCTAGTAATGGAGACACACACCCCCTCCCCTAGCACCGCCATCGGGACCCCCGGCTGGGTCGCCCCCTTTGCGCCCTGAAAGTACAAGGGCCTTTCTTCCCGCCCCGCCCCCCCAGGTGCATTCTCACGTCACGATGGTGAGACACGTGTCAGGAGCTGCTGAGGCTGCTGCGATGACTACCAATGTGTGATTTGCTTAATATGCTCTTAATGCTGCTGTGATTATTATTGCTATGTTAATGCTATTGCAGCAATTATTATTTTTTATAATTGCTGCCATTATTGTTGCTATTATTGCCGTTGTTATTTTTATTACTGCTGCAATTGTTGCTGCTGTGATTATTGTTGCTATTATTGCAGTTATTTTTATTACTGCTGCAATTGTTGCTATTATTGCAGATTATTTTTATTACTGCTGCAATTATTGCTATTACAGCTGTGATTATTGCTATTGCAGTTATTATTTTTATTACTGCTGCAATTGTTGCTATTATTGCAGATTATTTTTAATACTGCTGCAATTATTGCTATTACAACTGTGATTATTGATGCTATTATTGCAGTTATTTTTATTACTGCTGCAATTGTTGCTATTATTGCAGATTATTTTTATTACTGCTGCAATTATTGCTATTACAGCTGTGATTATTGTTGCTATTATTGCAGTTATTTTTATTACTGCTGCAATTGTTGCTATAGCTGCTGTGATTATTGTTGCTATTATTGCAGTGATTGTTATTTCTATCATTTCTGCCATTACTATTGCTGTTGCTGCTGTGATTATTGCTATTGCCGCAGTTGTTATTTCTATTATTGCTGCTATTCTTATTTGCTGTGATTATTTGTATTGCTGCTGTTATTGCTATTGCTTTTATTCATTGTATTTATTTATTCAGTTTCTATAGCTGCCCAACTCAACCAAGTGACTCTGAGACTGCTGTCATTGTTACTGGAGTTATTATTTGTATTATTGCTGTGATTGTTATTACTTTTACTGCTGTGGTTGATATTGCTATTACTGCTGTGATGGTTGCTGTTACTGCAGTATTTTAATTGTTGCTGCGGTTATTATTTCTGAGGGGTCCTTGGTGCCTTCTGAGTTTGGTGGTTTTCTTGCAGACATTTCATTACCAAACTAGGTAACATCATCAGGGCAATGATGACGTTACCTAGTTTAGGTCATAAAACATCTGCAAGAAAACCACCAAGCTCAGAGGGCACCAAAGACCCCTCATTTCAGCCCTGAGCTACAAATATCCTCCTTTGTTGATTATTATTATTATTGTTTCTCGCTATTATTGTATGCAATAAACTGGGTATTCAACCAACTCAGATTCCTTGGTTGTGGTTTTATCTAGAATTCCTTTTTTTCCCCTTTACAAGCCGTGATTCGATGTGGGGCACCTATGTCCATTCCTCACGTTGGTATATATTTACTTAAATTGATATGCTCCCCCTTCCTCCAGTCTCAAGAACACTGAGCATTGATGGAAAGACAAAAAGAAAAAAGGGATCAAAAACAAAGCATAAAAGATGGTGAGGAACAAAAAAACACAAAAAAAACCCCAAAGCCACACAATCCATACAATGCTTTGCTTATGAATAATTGGGAGTCAGGTGATCTATACGTTGAATAAATAAAATAAGTAAATGTAACTCAAGATAAAAAAAGACTTCAATACAGAATACCATATAAGAAAAACCCCCAAGGATTAAGCCATGCCTAAATTAGGTTAGCAAGTGGCCTCTGTCTAGGACTCGCTGGACAAACATTGTTTTAGACTTGGATCTTCAGGGTGAGCAGATTTTTCATTTATTCTTTCATGATTTGTATCCTGCCTTTATTTTTACAAATAACTCAAGGCAACGAACATCTCCAACACACTTTCCTCCCCTCCTCTTTCCCCAAAACAACAACCCTGTAAGGTGGGTGGTGCTGAAAGGGAGAGTGGCCCAAAGTCACCCAGTTGGCTTTCGTGCCTAAGGCGGGACTAGAACTCCCAGTCACCTGGTGATTGGTCAAAAGTCACCTACCGAGCTTTTGTGCCTAAGGCGGGACTAGAACTCCCAATCACCTGGTGATTGGTCAACTCCCAGTCACCTACCGAACTTTCTTGCCTAAGGCAGGACTAGAACTCACCATTTCCTGGGGATTGGCCCAAAGTCACCCAGCCGGCTTTCGTGCCTAAGGTGGGACTAGAACTCCCAGTCACCTGGTGATTGGTCAACAGTCACCTACCGAGCTTTCTTGCCTAAGGCAGGACTAGAACTCACCATTTCCTGGGGATTGGCCCAAAGTCACCCAGCCGGCTTTCGTGCCTAAGGCAGGACTAGAACTCCCAGTCACCTGGTGATTGGTCAACAGTCACCTACCAAGCTTTCGTGCCTAAGGCGGGACTAGAACTCCCAGTCACCTGGTGATTGGTCAACAGTCACCTACCGAGCTTTCTTGCCTAAGGCAGGACTAGAACTCACCATTTCCTGGGGATTGGCCCAAAGTCACCCAGCCGGCTTTCGTGCCTAAGGTGGGACTAGAACTCCCAGTCACCTGGTGGCTGCTCAAAAGTTACCTAGCAAGCTTTCGTGCCTAAGGCGGGACTAGAACTCCGAGTCACCTGGTGGTTGGTCAAAAGTCACCTACCGAGCTTTCGTGCCTAAGGCGGGACTAGAACTCCCAGTCACCTGGTGATTGGTCAACAGTCACCTACCGAGCTTTCTTGCCTAAGGCGGGACTAGAGCTCACCATTTGTCTAATCTCTTCTTAAAATCTTCCAGTGTTGGAGCATTCACAACGTCTGGAGGCAGGTTGTTCCCCTGATTAATTGTTCTGTTTGTCTTGGAGTTTTATTTCTGTACGCTGCCAGAATTGCCCTAGAGTGAATTAGGCTGCCAAATAAACCTGAATAAATGTATTATTTATTCAACTTATATCCTGCCCCTCTCTCCTGGAGATTGGTTTATACATAAATAACTGCAGAGGGAAATTCCAGGAAGGCAGGTGGAATTGCTGCGGAAGATGTTTGAGCTGTCTGCTCATACAGGGGTAGTCAACCTTGGCTCTTTTATGACTCGTGGACTTCAACTCCCAGAATTCCTGAGCCAGCTAAGCTGGCTCAGGAATTCTGGGAGTTGAAGTCCACGAGTCATAAAAGAGCCAAGGTTGACTACCCCTGATCTAGATTATGGCAGGGAAGGGCTGGATTGTAGACCATCCCATCAGGAAACCAATGCATCAGTAAGGCCACAGTAGAAGTGCATGAAGAGCAGGACGCACGGAGAGTCCTAGGGAACGAGGGTCCGTGCAAGTGTCTCGGCCTCCAGGGGGTAGCAAAATCCCATCGTAGGGACTATCCGGTTTGTGGCATCCAGATAACCCATCCTGAATTACATCCACCGTCCCCGGCATTCTCTTCTGGAGCAAACGTCCATGCCTGTATTTGGATCTCAGGGATTGCCACAAAGAAGAGGGGGTCCAGCTATTCTCCAAAGCGCCTGAAGGCAGGACAAGAAGCAATGGATGGAAATCAATTGAGGAGAGAAGCAACCTAGAACTAAGGAGAAACTTCCTGACAGCGAGGACAGTTAACCAGTGCTATAGTGGAACAGCTTTGCCTCCAGAAATCGTGAGCACTCCGTCACTGGAGGTTTTTAACAAGAAGGACTGGACAGTCACTTACCTGAGAAGGTTTCTCCTGCTAGAGCAGGGGGATGACCTCCAAGGTCCCTTCCAGCTCTATTCTGTTCTGTTCTGTTCTATTCTATTCTATTCTATTCTATTCTATTCTATCCCATAATTCTATTCTATTCTGTTCTATTCTATTCTGTCCCATAATTCTATTCTGTTCTATTCTATCCCATAATTCTATTCTGTTCTGTTCTGTTATTCTATTCTATTCTATTCTATCCCATAATTTTATTCTATTGTTCTTTTTTGTTCTATTTTATTCTATCCCATAATTTTATTCTATTCTATCCCATAATTCTATTCTATTCTATCCCATAATTCTATTCTATTCTATCCCATAATTCTATTCTATTCTGTTCTATTCTATCCCATAATTCTGTTCTGTTCTGTTGTTCTATTCTATTCTATTCTATTCTATCCCATAATTCTATTCTATTCTATCCCATAATTCTATTCTATTCTATTCTATTCTATTCTATTCTATTCTGTTCTTTTCTATCCCATAATTCTGTTCTGTTCTGTTCTGTTCTATTGTTCTATTCTATTCTATTCTATTCTATTCTATCCCATAATTTTATTCTATTCTGTTCTTTTTTGTTCTGTTCTATTCTATTCTATCCCATAATTCTATTCTATTCTATTCTATTCTATTCTATCTCATAATTCTATTCTATTCTATCCCATAATTCTATTCAATTCTGTTCTATTCTATCCCATAATTCTATTCTATTCTATTCTATTCTATTCTATTCTATTCTATTCTATCCCATAATTCTATTCTATTCTATTCTATTCTGTTCTATTCTATTCTATTCTATTCTATTCTATTCTATTCTACAATCTGTCTATTCTATTCTATTCTATTCTAGTCTAGTCTATTCCATTCTGTTTTTAGCCCAACTTAAAATCTTCTTTAGTTGAATTTAGTGGTTTATTGCTCCGGAAAAGCCAAACCTCCTGGGTGTTGTCCTTCCTGGGAAGCTGCTTGTACAAAGCTTCCCATCGTCCGACATGGCAAGAACGGCACCGCGGAGGACACAGCTGCATCGTCCAGCCATTACCTCTGACTACAAGTGGTCCTCGACTTATAACAGTTCATTTAGTGACCGTTCAGAATTACAACAGCATTGAAAAAA